AACGACGACCTGATCTGAACTGACCATTGCGGAGGAACAAAAATGGTTGGAATGAACTTTTCACAGTTCTCACGCTTAGTTATGTGCCCTTAATATCCATCTTGACGTGCTAACATGTGCTTTAATTGCATCCATCAGAGCGACTGTTGTTTCCTTTCGTGGCCTCAAGTGACCTGACATTTGACCGATGGCTAAAATTTGGTGCTGCGACGAGATCTTCACAACGGCATCCTTGCTTTTTCCTAAGACATCTGGGAGTTGGACATCCCAGTGGGGGGCAGTCACTTTCCCCCGCGGGGCGCGGTTGTCTGACCCCTGGCCGGTCGCAGGATAATCGCTTTACGAGGCACAGTACAGAGAGGTACAAATTTATGCGTTTTATTCATAGATAATCTACTTGGCACCTGCTCGCGCACTACCATTCTACTAATAGGCCTGTGATTTGTTTGGAAACCCACGTTGTTTAACTTACCCTTCCATCTTTATTGGCAGGCGTACGCATCATTTATCTCAGAGACGAGGTACTTGACGAGGATCAACGGCGGCCGGCCGAGCGAGGTACTTGACGAGGATCAACGGCGCCCGAACAGGGTACTGGACGACGATGAGCGGCGGCCGGGCGGGGTACTGGACGACGATGAGTGGCGGCCGGATGGGGTGCTGGACGACGATAAGTGGCGGCCGGGCGGGGTACTGGACGACGATGAGTGGCGGCCGGGCGGGGTACTGGACGACGATGAGCGGCGGCCGGGCGGGGTACTGGACGACGATGAGTGGCGGCCGGGCGGGGTACTGGACGACGGTGAGCGGCGGCCGGGCGGGGCACTGGACGACGGTGAGCGGCGGCCGGGCGGAGTACTGGACGACGATCAGTGGCGAGCGGCGAGAGCGGACCAACTTCCGCGGGAGGAGTTCGCGGTCGATGAGTGGGGCGGAATGCTAGGTGCCGTGAGGCGGTCACGCGGCCGTCCGTTTCCCGGTGACAAGCTCCGACTGACCGCGCGCGGCGCAGATCGCCTGTTGCGTGTCGAAACTCGCGGACAGGCACGGCAGGCGGCGTCGTCTGCTTCTCGTTCACCTTTCGCGAGAGTTGGGTTTTCGTGCAGATGCTGGCGAACCAGTGCTGGGCGACGGCAGAGGTGGGCGAAGTGAACCAAACAGTTGTCTCCTGTTGAAGATGATTCGTTCACTACGTGGGTGAATTAAGTTAAAGCTTATCTGTTAGATTGATCAAGCATTGTTAGCGAATGTTACTAGGCTACGAAGTTCTTAATGAATCTGTTCTTACGTGAAAGTTTCAAAACTTTTGTCCAATACTAGATTTTTATCTTCTAAGTCTCGTCAAAAGGTGAAAATAGATTATTTGTACACTTTATTATCCAGTCACCGTATTTAAATTGGCATGATAGCTTATGAGGATGTGTGCATTTGTCACTCATACTTTTGCCCTGACACGCTGCCAACCAGGGATAGGGATTTGCTGCAATATGGAATTTGAAACCTTCGGCGGGTGAATTCAGATCTGGACTAGGCCATAGGCCATAGACACGCGACACGTAGCGGTGGAGAATGGCCTGAATGTCCTCGTTGCCATGCGAATGCACACGGTCACAACGTTTGGGACTGATTATGTATAGCTTTCCCCAGGCGGTCGCATTAAGGCTATTACCCTACGGGTAGGCCCGCCGCAGTTTTTTTAAGAGGACCCGCAGAGCAACCAACCTCTCCCAGACCGCAGTGTTGTCTCGATCTCACTAAAGGGCCATTCCACGACAAATTGACCGGGGTATAATGCGGCACCCTCTTTAAATTTGACACAAACATGTTGATGGGTTAATTACACGGCCACGACACAATTTTGCAAGTTTTAGAGCCGTACAAAGCACCGATAAGCAGCCAGGAGAAGATGAAAATACATTATGACGTCGCGAGCCTTATTTTTCAGTTTTCTCGAGCGAGAACGGATTGTGGAGCATAATGTTTGGGAGCAGTGGATTGAAAAGCTAAATACGGGCGTGTTTCTGAAATTAGGTCAATATAACATTCAAGTTTAACAAGGCACACTTTTGTCTTTGCCCTAATTTTCTGAAAATGAGCGTTCGATCTTCTTAAACCGATATGTCATTTAAGACAAATGGATTGCCGTTCAGATATTGATAGAATCTTTTCTAGATCGGTCGTAAATTGAACTTGAACATTGGCGGATCACGCACAGCGGCACGCCACGAACCAACCGACGGGTATCGTATGACCGGATACAGTTGGCTCACTCCGTCGGGAACTGTGACCGTGAGCTTGAAACCGTTCATTTCAGTCTTAAAACCAGCCACTTTTATATTATTCCGGAGCTCGACACCAGTGTCTGAATGGCCAGCGCGACTGAATGAATGAATGACTCTGGAATGTCTGAATCACCAATGCGTGTTAATCGACCTCACGCACCTAACATACCTCACGAGTCGCGTAGATGGCAACGTCGTGTGCTCCGAGGCCTTACCGCACATCGATAACCATTATATAAAGTTGAGCTTGAGTTAAACATGAGCAGAAACCAACAACTGGTCTGAAGTTATATTACTTTTCTTATCTGGCCTGGACCCGGAGCAAAGTTGCCTTGTGAGCCAGCTCAGCACGCCTGGATCCGCACAAGTGGACTTTGATACAACACACATGTAATTCGACGCCGGCTCTGGGTAAAGCACGCCGGGACCAAGGAGAGGGTCAGTGAGTGTAGAGCCCCATTGTCGGGAGGTTGGGAAAATGGAGGCCCGCAGTTTTGCTACTTTCAGCCAGTGTTTCCAGGGAACGCTCCAAAAAACAATGCGCTGAACTTAGTCGAAGAAAACAGAAAGCAATGGTTTGCGCGGCGTAGCGAAAGCACAGCGAGTGCGGTCCAAGCCATCTGTCATAATTGAGAAGAAGATTTGCTAACTAGATCATTTGCTATAACTATGTAAAATTTCCGTGCCAAACTGAAGTTATTTGTAGCGTTGTTTGACCTGAGACGCAGAGCAGCGGGCAGGAGTTTGCACCGAATCACTGACAGTTTCGAAGAGAAGAACCCCTCTTTAAGGGGTGAGGTAAAAGTAGGAGATAAACCGCATACGGCTTGCTGGAAAAAAATACATAGCCATCCGCCATTTCAAACTCCGATGCTATCCTGTCATCGAGTGAGCGCGTCTGAGTACAGAATCTAGACAAGCTCTGGAGCAACGGCAGGACTGAACGAAAGTACGAGCCCGGATAGCGAGGTCATGATCTGGCGATTCATGGCTGATTCATGGCTTATGATTGTAGTGGTCAGGATTCCAAGGTCCGGATTGGAACAGTTACCCACAGTAGGGTCTACGGCTGGGGAAATTGTGTTCGTTCACATGAGAGCAGTTTTATTTCTTTGTTTATGCAAACACGTAACCTGTGGGACTGAAGCCCTTCTCTCCATGTCATACAGGGGAAGACGCGTAGCCTGCGATCTGGGGCAACTACGGGACTGAAGCCCTTCTCTCCATGTCATACAGGGGAAGACGCGTAACCTGCGATCTGGGGCAACTGTGGGACTGAAGCCCTTCGCTTCATGTCATACAAGGGAAGCACACGCCAGGGTTGGTCTAACCTGCGATCTGGGACAACTGTGGGACTGAGGCCCTTCTCTTCACGGCATACAAAGGAAGGACACGCCAGGGTCGGTCTGTAATAGGACGCGCCTCGGGTTACAGCCCCCAATCACCCCAAGGCCCCTGGCCCTCGCTCAGCCGACGAGTCGGAGAGAACGTCGGCCAAACTACGACAACGACAAAGACGGCCAGCCGCGCGGCCTACGCATAGATCGATGCGAAATGCATGTCCTCGGCTATTGTGCTACGTTACAGCCCACACGAAATGCATGCCCCCACGCGTCCACCCCACGTGTGCCCTGAATACTCGGAAGGCAATGCTTTCGCCACTGTTTTCCAGAGGCACGTGCGTAGGATGTACGCGTCAGTGATTCGGGAGTGGGCACGTATGGACCAGCATATATTGCGAGCCTGTCCGATGCAATACAACCAGTGTCTTCTCAGCCTTTGGCGCAATATCTCCGAGATCCCGACTACACAACCTCGTCCGGCCAGGGCGAGTTGAGTTCCCCTCCCCCCCCCCCACGGGGATCTCAAACTTCCAAACGCTGGATGAGAAAGAAAGGATAAGGCTGTGAAGCTCTTGTCGAATCATGAAGAATGCGCACCAATTTTTCATCTTAGGTCAAAGGTGAGGCAACTGGAGGTCACGAAAGGTAAAAACTATTGTCGCGATAAACGCTGATAAAGTCTGTGTTAATACGCCAAAACAGACATTAAGTGCGGGTAAATAAGCGTTAAGACTGTGGAGGGTCCACTCCGACCATTTCTGCTGCCCCGCAAGAGCCAGGTCAGATATCTCACCGTTCAAAACGGTCTACCAGTAGCCTACTAGAAAGATGCTTTTTCACGATGCAGTTCTGGCTATGTTTATTCTTTTAGATGCAGCTGTGGTACAAAACCTTTCCAGATGCAAAGACAATTTTAGGCTGGCTTAGAGGTTCTTTAAGGTCAACTAAGGCCGTCAGCTAATTACTTCATAGACGTGTCCTCATCAAATTTGAAGAGGTGCCGTGCCGATATGCACCTATCTGTGGTCGCTTTCCCGTGGCATGTCCATAAAACAGACATTTACATGAAGAAAAATGCAGAAATACGGAAACAATAGACAGCTCAACTGGGTTTTCTGATAACTCCGAGTTGATGCTCATTTTTCTAAGATTTTCTGTTTAGGATAGCCCGCTTTTGGGCGTGGAATACTAAGGTTTATTCCCATGAGAGTGTGGGGCATGCCTCAGCCTAACAGTTATAGTGGGCAGCACCCCTCCTGCCTTCTGTTCTCGGGCATGTGGACAGAGACCTCTGAATGGCCTTTGGTTAAGACCTCTGCCCATCACTACTAAGGCCTTGTTGTGCCGCAGCAGCGACAAAATGTAACCAGGGATATTTTTGCGGGGCAGGCTGTGTTTCGTTCGCTTCGTGCTGATTCGGGCTGTGTTGCGCGTGGGATAAGGTGGGGCAGGAGACAATTCATAACTGTAGTCCTTAGTAAAACGCATGCTTCCTTCAACCTCGAAACCGTGGCCAAATGAAACCTAAAGGCTCCATTTGGGAGTCGCCCTCGATTGTGGGGTGTAGACGCTCATTTCGAACTTGGCTTGGTTTGCGTCATCTTTCTGTTGATATCGATGTCCACAAATAAAAAATCCTGCTGGTGCTGGGTTGGCTGGAATTTATTTGTAAACCCTAGGGCAAGGTTGGGAGTCAACCTGTTTGAAGCTTCTTGTACATCAGTTCAGTGTGGGCCTGTCTAAAACATCCTTTCACTGACCTAGAGGCTTAGGACACATTGGTGCACTAAACCTCATGTTTTCATGTGCCAAACTTAGGCCAGGCCATTTTGTACTGAAGTGTCTTGTTGCTTTTGCATGAGAAGTGTTTCTGGTAAATGTTTGTTAGAGATGATTATGCAATATCATAATCCTTGGAAACATGCTTGGTGTGCTAAAATTAATGGGTACTGTCAAAGTCTGAGTGTTCAGATCTGTGGCATACATGTGCTGAAAATGTTTCTTAGATGCTGGGGCTATAATGCTGCTGTTACCCTGGGCATATTCTGTAGCTTTTTTTAGTTGGGAGTCTTCCCATAGTCATAGTCAGAGTGAGGGCAAATGTCAACTGAATGAGGGCAATTTTGATCTGGATTTTGCAAGCCATCAAGCATGTAGTCTTAACCCCTCAGTTCCTATGAAACCATAGCTGCTGTATCCCTCCCCCCTTCCTCTTCACTACATTTCAGGCCCTGTGCAGAATTGCCCTAGTGACTCAGTCAGTCAAGCACCTGCCTGTCAACCTACTCAAGTTGGGGTACAAGGGTTCAAGCTGCTTCTGTGCTTTCTGTTTGCTCCTGGCTGGGTTGGCTTGCAGCCAGTGGCGGTAGTCGCTCTTCGAGGTCCGATGAGGTCATAAAATGGGGTGGACTATGTTAAGCTCACATCACATTAAACCTTTGCCACAAATTTCTGCTTTTGAACTAGAATTTCTTCAGTGTCTGTACAACAAGCTTTGCTTATTTTGAACTCTGATCTCAGAAATCTATCCAGGAAAAAGTTTGGACAAAAGTAGTGAATAACTGCTGCTTTTTGTTTGATGGAAACTGTGCCTTGATATTTCTTGCCACTTTGTGCACTATTGCATTTGGATGATACAAATGTAATGGGGATGTCTCAGAAAATGTCACTTTCCAAAATGCGACAGTTTCTGACCAGGATGATTCAGCAAACGGTTGTTTATAGCCGGAAGGCCCAACAATGCTTTGTGTGCTCCAGCTGTCCAGAATTTTACCAGACAACATCAGCCCCATTTGCAGATGAGCCAAAATGTTGAACAAAGTTGCTACAATCAGTAAATAACAATCATCTGGGGAGACTTATCAAGATCCAGTTTTTACATTGATGTGATGTGCTCCAGATTTTACCAATTTATTTGGCCTTGGCACAAACACAACATTTTAGATCACCCCACTTGTTGACCGCAACACTATGACCCTTCTTTTGTTGGACACTTCATGACTAAATACAATATTTTGTGAATTATAGGCATTTTGCTAGCAGGCTGTTGTTTATCTGAGATGCTGAAAAAGTTGTCATAACAAGGTATTAAAGGGGTCTATCTGTGCGACATGTTTAGTCATGATGTCAAAGGATGCTTTGTTTTGAAGATGTGGGTCCCATCACTCTGGCATTGAAACTCATGTGGATCAGTAAGAAATTTTGAATCATTTCTATGTCTTTCTGTACTATTTATTAACATGCAACATGACATGCACAAGCTGTAATGGCTACATAAGCACTCAAGCCTTTTATAGATCACTGAAGTCATTTGGTATCCAACTCTCTTCTTTGCCATTTAATTGAACATGTATGAACAAAGTCTGCTGCATAGATTTTACTGGAACTGGTTTTTGAAGTAAAAACGAGCTAATTATCTTGAATGCCCTAAAGTTACACATGCATTAGCCCAGCCCAGCTCAGAGTACTGAATTCATATTTTGAAGGAGTAAACAGTTAAATTGAAAAATGCATCTGGTTCATAAAAGAACTGTTAATGATAATGATGCCTTGAGGATAGAAAACTTTTAATCTCATAAGTGTCACATTTTTGCCCTGTTGTGTTGCATAAGATGGTGATCATTATTAACAAGCCTTTTGTGGTTAGATTGTTGGTGTGTTTAGAAGGCACTTTAATTTCATTGTCAGCTCAGACTAAATGGGGCAAATCCTGTGCCCAGTGGTTGGCACCTTTGTATCCCACACAGGTGAGCAGGGAACAGATCCCTGTTGCAACATGACTGTAAAGTCATAATGCTGACTTTAGACACAGCACCACAACAAAGTGTGGTGCTGTGTGACAAACCACCATGCTCAGCTGGATATTGCAGTGGCCTAGCCATGAGACATTCAAACTTGTTGCACTGACTTCTGCATCACATGTTGGTATGTGTGATAGCAAATAGGTTTTGTTATCGCTGACAACACATTTTTTGTTCCCATCCATATAATACAGTGGTGCAATCAAATGGACATAACCCAGACATACCAAATGCAAAAATGAAAATGCATATATTCAGATATGCTTGACATTCCAATGTTCATGCAGCTTTTTGCACCATGGATGGAGTGCCAGTGAAGATTAGTGAACAGTGCCGGCCGCCAGGAAAAGTTCATCTACCAGCATCACTTCGAACACTTCCGCCGCCGGAGGTTAACGTTCAAACGGTCAGTGTGCGTGACTGTCTTTGAATTAATGTTGGTTGGCGAGACTGTTTCTTATCTTCTGAGTCTGAATTTGTGCTACCATGGTGACACTGCAGATACACAATTGTAACTGTGCCATTGTTCGCACTGAAAGCTCAGATGCAACAGCACTTGAGCATACCACTGTCTGATATATGTTGGGATGGTGGTATGTTTATCTCAATAATCTGTTATTTGTATTTAATGGAAACTGCCCACGGTGTTGCCTCATGATGCTGATAAAACACAATGCCACTACAGTACACTTTCGAGTTGGAGGAAAAGGCTACACATTGGGTGCAGGAACGTCGAAGAAATCTGTTGTCCGAAAGAGCGGAAAGACAGAAACGTTTAGAACTCAAAGATGCAGCCAAACAAAAACAGAAAGAAGAACTGGAGGAATTAGCGAAACAGGAACAGCAGGAAAAGCTTAAGAGAGAGGAAGAGGAACGGCAGCGGCAGGAGACAGAAGCGGCGAGAATGTTAGCCGAAGAAGAGGAGAGGTTACGTCGCGAGGAGGAGGAAAAACTGGAGGAATTCCGACGACGGCGTGAACAGTTGTCTCGCCAAGAGAGTGAGACGGCGGCAGAGCGCGTGCCCGCCGCCGAGGTGCAGGCCGGCCCGGAGTCTCAGCCGCCGGAGCAGGGGGCGACAGTATCGTGCGGACCGGAGCCGGAGGAGCCGGCGGCTGCCTCGCCTCCCACCGGCACGCCGAGTCTGCCGACGGCGACGGCGACGGTGCCCTGCCCGCCGGCGGCTGACGCGTCGTCATCGGCGCCTGAGGCCGCGCAGGAACCCGCCGCCGCTCCGGCGGCAGCCGCGCCAGCAGCCGTCGCCCCAGTCGCCCCAGCCGCCGTCCCAGCCGCCGCCTCAGCCGCCGCCCCGGCCGCCGCTCCGGCCGCTGCCCCAGCTGCTGCCCCAGCTGCCGCCCCAGCCACCGCCTCAGTGGCGCCCGGCTGGCCGGCGCCGAGTGTCGTCTCGTCAAACCCGTTCAACCCATTCGCGCGGCCGGCAGGCTCGGCCGTGCTGACGCCGCAGTCGTGGCAGCAGCCGGGCGCCGGCGCCGCACCCTTCCGCGGCAGTGGCTTCAACTACCGCGACTTCGAGAGCCAGGCCAGCGACCCATTCGACAGCGCCGAGCTCAAGACCATCAACGACATGGAGGAGCTGGCCTGCGTATTCCGGCCTTCTGCCAACGCCGCCGCACCCGGCCCATCTCACTCGTCGGCCGCATACTATCAGCAGGCGGAGCAGCGGCAGAACCAGCAGCAGGGACCACAGCCTCCGCAGCAGCAGCAACAGCAGCAACGGCAGCGGCAGCAGCAGGGAGCACAGCAACAGCGGCAGCAGCAGCAGCCACAACAACAACAACCACAACAACAACAGCAGCAACTGCAGCAACAACGACAACAACAACCGCAGCAGCAACAACAACAGCAACAACAGCAACAGTCGCAGTCGCAGCCCCAGCAGCGACCACAGCAGCAGGTGCAGTCGCAGCAGTACTTCCCGCGCGCCGGCGGCTCCACCAGCGGGCCGGTGTCCGCACCGAGCCCGGCCGTCACCGGCTACAGCTACCAGCGCGGCTTCACGCCGTACCCGGGCCAGGCGTACGGCCGGCCAGCTTATGGCCCGGTCGCCAAGTTGCCGACCGACCAGACGGGCTACCGGTACGCCGGGTACGCGTACAGCGCGGCCGGCGGCGGCGGCGGCTCGTACGCGGCTCGTAATCCGTACCCTGCGGCGACCACCGCCGAGCCGACGGCCGCCTACCCGGCCGTGTCCTCGGCATCGAGCGGCGTCGTGGCGCCGGCGCAGGCCGACGCCCAGCAGCTGCATGAGTTCTACACGCGCTACTACGCGTCGCCCGGCCTGCGCAGCAGTCGCAGTGTGCCCGACCTCTGCGAGGAGGTGCAGCGCGAGGCGGCCGCGGTCGGCGACGTGAAGCGCACCAAGTCGCACACCCCGCCGCCGCAGTGTGCGGCTGACAGGCCCGCCGCGGCGCAGGTGCGTGGCGGGGATAACGCTCGCCTCCTCTGGGAGGTCCTCGTGCTGGGTCTGTGGTTGAATTTCGGTCATTATGATCAGGGTGGAAAGGCCGGTGCACGAGTGCAAGTCGAGTACTAGATTAGCTTTGGATGATACATAATTATTAAACTGTTAATGCCATTTTATTTCACATTTTCCAGCAATGTCATGAATGGTGGTATATGTTCTTCACGAGTAAAAGGCTTAAAGGCCAAAAGGTACGCGTGTCTTGTTGCGCTATGCCGCCAAAAACGTATCAGTTTACGGAATGTTTGTTATTAGCTGGTTCTTCGCAAACATTTGTGTAGGTGGCGGATGTGATTTTTATGCTTCACAATAAGTTCGAAATGATGTGGTTGTGGTATGGTGATCACGTGTTCTTTGTGTGCTACATGTAGTGCATATACATCAATATGTGTCTTTTCCCTTGCTACGTCAACATCGTTGTTCGGCCTGGTGCTCCGCCACGATGTCTGGAATGTCAATGAACTGCCAATAGTCGGACGTGCTGACGACTTGTGACTTGACACGGCAGGGCCTGGTGCCGCGGCCCGAGCCGGCGGCCGAGGCGGCCGACCCGCTGCACGGGCTGGAGCCGGCCGCTAAGGCCCGGCTGCAGGAGCTCGGTCAGATGGGCTTCCCTCTGGACCGGCTCAGGCGGCTGCACAGCCAGTTCAACGGTGACGAGAAGCAGGTAACGGGGCCCGACCGGTGCCCGACGGTCCTGGCGACGCCAGCGTGGTAACGGGGCCCGAGCGGCGCCCGACGAACCTGGCGAGGTCATCCTGGCGGGAATAACGGGCTCACCTGGGCTCTCCATCTGGGGGACGAACGGGGATTCTGTGATGCTAAAGCTGCCGGTGCGGTCCTGACAGCAGGTTTGGGACAGAAGATGTCATACGTTTTGATTGTGACTGTGCGTACCTGGCATGAGCCTGTGCTCTCAGTTGCTGCCTCTGCTCCCGGACGCCTCCTCTGCTCCCAGTCGCTTCCTCTGCTTCCAGTCGCCACCTCTGCTCCCAAACGCTACTTCTGCTCCCAGTCGCCACCTCTGCTCCCAGTCGCTTCCTCTGCTCCCAGTCGCCACCTCTGCTCCCAGTCGTTCCCCCTGCTCCCAGTCGCTTCCTCTGCTCCCAGTCGCCACCTCTGCTCCCAGTCGCTCCCTCTGCTCCCAGTCGCTACCTCGGCTCCCAGTCGCCAACTCTGCTTCCAGTCGCCATCTGTGCTCCCGGCGCTGCTTCTGTGCCCGTGGCACTGGCTTCGACAGTGATCTTGTGACACTGACGGGTCACGACGCCGTCTAACTTCTCACCGCGCGTGCCCCGCCGCTAACCGCGCGCTCTCCGCCTGCGGCAGGTGATCGAGTTCGCGCTGTCGGCTCAGCGTCTGGAGGAGGCCGGCCACTCGGCGCTGGAGGCCGAGCGCGGCCTGCTCGAGTGCGACGGCGACCTGGGCCGAGCCGCCGACTTCCTGAACTCGCTGGCCCAGCTCACCGGGCTCGGCTTCCCGGAGCCGCGCGCCCGTGACGCGCTCCGCCGCGCGGACATGCACCGCGACCGGGCACTCGACCTACTCATCCAGGGCTAGCAGGCACTGTGACCGGGCGCTTGACCTGCTCATCCAGGGCAAGCAGGCACTGTGACCGGGCGCTCGACCAGCTCGTCCAGGGCTAGCAGGCACTGCGACCGGGCGCTCGACCTGCTCATCCAGGGCTAGCAGGCACCGCGACCGGGCGCTCGACCTGCTCAGGCAGGGATAACAGGCACGGCGATCGTGTGCTCCACCTGCTCAAGCGGGGTGTGCGTCGGACCATTCCCAGGCGGTAGTGCACCGTCGGCATTAAGTGCGGCTGTTGCCCGAAGTATTTGGTGGGAGCGAGCCTGCCACGTTCCGTGCGTCTGATTCCATCCCCGGTGATACTCCCGGAGCGGGGTCCGTCTGCCGCTCCGGGGACGGGCATAATCGACCCTCCGCTGTTCCTTATGCTGCTCGGGTGGTATCTGTGACTAGTGTTTCCAAGATAGTAACTGGACATGGAATCTACAAGTCTCTGGCAGGGAAAGGCTGGATTCCTAGGGTCCGGCGCGTCCCGTATCCCTGACAATACGCGAAGGTGGCCCGCTGGTTGCACGGTCGGCTGTGCAATGTATAGTTGTATAATAGGCGCGGACGCGTCGGCGGGCGCCCGCTGTCCAGTTCATCTGCGGTGATATTCGGTGGCTGGCCGCCGCGCCAGGCTGTCGGGACCACGTTCAGGCGGCGTGTTGCCGTGTGTGCGCCGTCGCAGGCCGGCCACCGCGGCGCGGCGCGGCTCGGCGCCCACGTGTTCAGGGACAATGGCGGAGTCGCGATCTGAGCGCGGTGTGGCAGTTCACTTGTATTCATGTCTCTGCACCACGCGCTGTATGGTATATCAATATATTGGAAATGTAATCGTTCCGTGTGCTGGACATGGCTGACCGCCGAACTGTAAATCCAGCGGCGGTTACGTGGCGCGCCGCTCGGAACGGCACCTCTCGGCAAGAACAGACACTGGAGGCGGACGGAGACGAGACGGCCGTCGCAGGCCATGTCCCGGCTTGTTCCTCCAAATGTCCTGCAAGTGGCTGATGCAAGCCGTTGGCCGGCGTCGTGTAGGAGAGAGCAGATAGTCTCTGTTCACGAAGGGGGAGATCGCGTGTGGTACGCCAACGCCATCTCGCGGTGGATGGGCTATCAATAGGCGGCAGCACATATCTTATTTGGGCTCCAGGACGCTCTTCTGTGAAGGGAGTATCATGACAAGCCTGATAAATTGCATGCCGGCTTGCAATGATTCTGTTAATTTAAATTTATAAAGAAACAGACACGTATGTACAGCTATTCGCGAACAATTAAAGGACCTTATGCCGTTAATGGATTCTAGATTCGTTGCGTTAGCGTGAAAGTGAAGTTTGTAGGGAGTGTTCCACTTTTAAATGGGGTTTTCAACTGAAATAACCATCTTGACAGCCTTTCGGCGCTGTTCAAAATCCTGCCCTTCTTAAGACCTAAGCTTCTCTAGTTTTCTGAGCTGCACGCCCGCGAAAATGGGGACGGGTATACCAGCAAACGTATTTCAAAGTCACCTTGGCATTCATGACATTACAACAACAACATTTAAATCCTGTCATTACATTAGCTTTGCGGCGATTAAGGCCAAGAATCATACAATTATCGAGGTGTTCATATCTGGCGATCGTGAGCGCGATTTCCAAACATTAATGTCGTCAATGCCCCACCAATGCTGTGCAAGGTACGATGATGCAATTAAACCGCAGGACTTTACAAGGAAAAGAGCGAACGGCCGTCCAAGCAAGACATCACAGTTTTTGCTCATGCCTGTGTAAACCATGCATTGGCCCTCGCATTGATTTCGTGACGTTATGCTGACAGGATGGTTGCCCGTCGCGTAATGAATGTCTTTGAGACACTGGGTGCGTGGGTATCTGCGGAATTGTTCGCGAATAGTCGTACAGCTTGGAACATTTTCTGGCATGCCAATTTACACAGTTCCCGAAGTTTCTTGGAGAAGTACGTCAGATCATTGACAAATAACTTCCGGCTGGGGTTCGTTGAAGTGAACCCTGGTTCAAAG